CGACGGGAGAGGAAGCTGCGGAGAAAGAGAGGGAGACGACCACGAAGGCCAAAAGAATTAAGTTGAGATAGAATATGATATCTCCAAGTGGTGTCGTAAGCCTTTTCCAGGTCAAAAAGGACGGCAACAACGGAGGTCTTCGCAACAAAAGCAGTACGAATATTGACCTCCAAGTTCACCAGGACATCTGTTGTGCTGCGGCACTTGTGGAAACCAAATTGAGAAGGGGAAAGGAAGTGATGGTGTTCCAGGAACCCCATCAGATGAACGTTAACCATACGTTCAGAGAGTTTGCAGACAACTTTTTCAGGGCAATAGGGCGAAAGTCCTTAGGGGATGTTCCCAGAGACCGTTTTTTGCGAACAGGGAGGACAACAGCATTGAGCCAGTCCTCGGGGACTGACGACGATTCCCAGATCCGATTATACAGACTCCGTAAATACCGAGACGTGCACGGAGGGAGATGGCGAAGCATCTCATAATCTCATAATGAATGCCATAGTTGCCCGCTGCAGTAGAACCACAGAGGGCCAGGGCAGAGTGAAGTTCAGAGAGAGAGAGAGAAGGGATCGTTATAGGGAAGTCGAAGACGAGTGCAGAATTCGAAAGGACGAGATTCAAGGTCAGGTTTACGAAGAAGGAAAGATTGGGGAAGATGAAGAGCAGAGCTAACAGAAGAAAAGTAGGAACTCAGTTCGGTAGCGACCTGCAACGGGTCCGCCACAAGAGTACCACGGAGGTGAAGGACCCGTGAAATATCGGGAATGAACTTACCCGCTGTCTTGTGGATACGCTTCCAGATCTGTGGCAGACGAGTTTCGGACGGAATGGTTATGACAGAATATGCCCAACATTCAGGTTTACCTGTACATGCCACCGCTCTCGCCTTCCGAAAGAAAAGAAAAGAATCGGCCGTCTGCCGACGGCGGTGTCTTTTTCAGGCTGCACGCTTACAGCGGACAGCCCGAGCAGAGTCTGTATTCCACCAGGGAATGCACTTCAGTGGACCCAGAGAGGAAGAGCGAGGAATAGAGCGAAGGGCAGCGTCGAAGACAGTGTCATGAAAAAGGAAGAGAGCGCGAGGGAGAGGCAGAAGGGAGACGTCAGAGAGAGCAGCACTGAGGGTAAATCCAGTCCGCATTAGAAAACTGCCACCTAGGGAAGGAGAGGGGAGGGTGAAAAGAGAAAAAGGTAACAAGGATGGGGAAATGGTCACTGCCATGGAGGTCATCAAGAACCTGCCACGTGAAATCTAAGTAAAGAGAAGACGAGCAAAGAGAAAAATCAAGACAGAAAAGGGTACGAGTCCTAGAGTACAAATGTGTGGGCTCACCAGAATTCAGAAGAGACATGGAAGAAGAGAGAATAAACGGCTCAAGAAGGCGACCTCGGGTTTTCGTCAGAACATCACCCCAAAGGGAATGACAATTGAAATCACCCAGAAGGAGCACAGGCTCCGGCAAGGAGTCCAGTAGGTGTTTCAGATCAGGAAGAGAAAGCGGGACACTGAGGGGGGGGGGAGAAATGGAACAAACGATGTACCATTTTCCCACAAAGATACGAGCAGCAGAACAATGGAGAGGCAAAGGAAAAAGTAAGGGGACAAAGGGAACATCAGAGCGAATTAAGAGCAGAAGAATTAGGAGCCCCAGCAACAGCTGGGGGGGGGGGGGGGGAATGAAAGGCATAGCCACGAAAGCGACCAGGACGAGCACCAAGCATCGGCTCCTGGAGACAGACACAAAGGGGCAAAAATCGCGAAATCATTAGTTGGAGTTCAAGGAAATTGGCGTAATCACCTCGAACGTTCCATTTTATTATTGACATCGACGAGAAGAGAAAGGACAACAGAGCACAAGGAAGAAACAAAGACGAAAGGGCAACACAGCACGTTAAAGAAGAACAGGGTCAGCAAAGTCAGGGTTAGGGGGCATGGGTAAACTGAGTAAAGACGCAAGGAAGGAAGTGGGAGAACAGACCAGAGGTGGACGGGCAGGGTCCGGAGGAGGAGGAGACAACCGAGAACAGTAGTCTAGGACAGCAGCATGAAGAGGGGGAGGAGAAAGGAGCGCACCTCAGCAAGGGCAGCAACAGAGGGAAGCGGGGGCCAAAGAAACCTCTATAGCAGGAACAAGGGGTGCAACCACCAAAATGGGAGGAGAAGGAGCGATAGTAGTAGGGGCCGAGGAAAAAAGTGAAGCCTTCTTACCCGCCGGGGAGGAGGAAAGAGGGGAGCCAGGCTTACGCTTCCGACTTAGAGACCGGTGTCCCAGCAACTATGTACTGGGCAACGGATTCCAGCATCTCTACAGAAGCTGAACGAGAGCACACATGATGGCCGTTAGGAGAGCGATGGACATCAGCCTGCACCGACAGGCGGCGGGGAGAGTCAATAGATGGAGAAGGATGGGAAGAAGGATCAGAGGAAGAAGACACAGGAGACATGACAGACCGGGTAGAAAGAAGGAGAACTCCAGACAGTGGACCAGGAGGGGGACCCTTCAGGACAGAGCTCGAACAGAGGAGGGGGCAGTGGGCATATTAGGGTCCAAGGCCCGGAAATGGTCGAGGAAGGTGGGAAGGACGAGGAGAGGAAGAGCGCAACACGCGTGCCCAAGAGACGTTAGCATAAGGCAGGAGCCAGCAAACCTGGTGCCTCGCCTCTGGGAAAGAAACGCTCCTGGTGCTTCAAGTTGAGGACTGCTGCCTGAAGCTTGTAATGGATACAGGCACGGGAGAAGGTAGGCTGGGCCTCACCGCAGTCGAGGCAGTGAGCCTGGGGAGAAGTGCACTCCGACTTAGTGACCTTCGCCCCCCCCCCCACACACACAAAAGACACAGTCCAGAGCAGCAGAGGGCACCATGCCTAAACCTCCAGCACTTGTTAGAGCCTAGGAGAAGGAATGTACTCCTGACCAGAGCACCTGGTACCAGCAAGAATGACAGAGGATGGAGAGGTCCTACCATCAAAGGTAATCTTCACAACCCGAAGGGGTTGACGGCGACGACCACGAGGGGAACGAGTAAACGTGTCTACCTGGAGGACAGAATGGCCCTGGGCATCGAGGATATGCCGAATATCATCGTGGCAGTCCTGCAGATTCCGAACACCAGTCGCAACATGAGGTGGGAAGAGAATAGTGCCAACACCGGCATTCAACCGAGCGTTCTTAGAGACCCGAACAGGGATTTCGCCAAGACAGGATAAGGCAGCCAAGCGGGAAGCCGCATCCTGAGAAGGAGCAGCAACGACACTTGTACCGAGGCGTGTGGGGTTGAAGGTAACAGGCATCCATGTAATCAAGATGCCAATGGAGGGAGAAATCGTCAGGAGACGCAGAATCAAGATGGAGATCAAAGTATTTGGCCCATGAAGCGGTACCAAACAAGGCTCGATAGGCATCAGAACGGGAAGGAATCGAGCGAGTGTGGCCGTGTCGAGGACGGCGTCGAGAACCCCCGGAGGGGGGGTTAAAAGGCGCAGTAGTCTCAACTAGAGACCGAGCTGGGCCTGGGGAAGAAAGTCACCACTGGGGGCGTGGGGCTCGACCCAACCACAGGAGGGAGGGGAGCCGAGGGGAGTAGTCAGAAAGGCCAAAGGAGGAGCAAGGTCGGGGCCCAATGCAGCAGAGGCTGCAGAGCCCGGTCTTCCAACACGGACCATCTCGGGGGCTTGGTCGCCCACCCCACGAGCTTAAGAAGGTAAAGGAGAAACAATTTAACACGAAAACAAAAACGAAACATTCATTGTGCCCCCACACCCACCATGGAGCCACAATTAGTGGCAGGACACTCGACAAGAAGCTATCGCCGATCATGCCGGGGCCCCCTAAGGGTGCGTCGCGAGTATACGCCCCACAAACGCCACGTTAAGAACCGTCAGTCCGTCGAGATCGGGTTCAGTGACGAAAGGAGGATTGACAGAAGGTCCCCCTCGCTCTCTACGTTTGGTACTACAGTTGTATGGGTGCAAGAGTATGCCTCCTCAAGCATCCAGGCATCAAAATAGAAGAAGTCCAAAGGAATAACCAAAACAAACAAAAGGTTGGCAGGAAACGAGCAAATAGGAGACGAGGGGGAGAAAAAAAATAATAAACATTAGAAAAAGTTAAAGTTGTTCAGCACAATTACAGAGGACAGCAGCAGGAGTACAAGGCTACGAAAGGGCAGAGGACTGTCCTAAGGAGCATCATACGCCGGTAGCCGCCCACTTGGCTCCCCCTCACGGCATCAAGGAGCTGAACGGGAGGGAGGGCCGGATTCATGAATAGTTAATGCACGGGTTGCATTTCCATTTTGCACAGCTATAACAGCAAGAAGAGCGAGGCAGTCACTCCCTCTTATTAAGGGTGGTACACCCGAGCCACTCGCATCAAGTTTCCACTTAAAGATGGGAATGGCTGTATGAATGAAGTGCATAGACTTGCTACCAAAGAACTGCCAGAAAAAAAACACGTTTGCATAGATACATGGATATTTATTTCATTAGCAATTTAATTTTCCTTGCCGATTATCAATTAGGAAATTTATAGTAAAGTTTTACACTTTGTTAACCATAAAGGTAACCTCTTAAAGGTTGACTCTTCCTGGTACATGTATCTTATTTGTGTTAATGAAATGCTTGTTAGCCAAGCAGCCATCAAGTCATTTCAATAGAATATACATCACCTCAAACGCACTAAGTACTTTGTATAATGTAGTCTTGTACCAACAACAGCCAGTGTTCTCCTTTGGCACTCCCGTGGCCGTTACGTTTTCACGAGTTGCCAGAGACGTGCTTCGTTGGATCACTGACCATTTCCCAAGGCTCTGTGCTGAATAGTTGGTGAACATTCTTGTCGTGAAAGTAGCCTTTTAGTGTAACATTAAAGCTGTACCAACCTTAGGAATAAAGCTTATAGGTATACACTATCTTAACCTCTAAACAGATTTCACCTCTAGTAAATAGGCACAATTATTTATCATTTACACCAAGTCAGGTATTAAAAGAACACCCAATGCTTTTATTAGGTTTTAATAGACCATACACACCGATACTGTTATACATGTTTAATATTACGATCTTTAAACCCTTAACACTAATGAACTTGCTAGAGCTGTCTATAACCGTAGCGGGCTCCGGGGACGAGGACTGTGTCGGTGACTGTGCGGTAGTCCGTGAACACCGTGCTCTTAGTATTGATGTTTGTTCTCACCAGCGTTGTCGTGTACGACAGCCTGTGGGGAGTAAAGTGGCCAATTACCCAATACTTTTACAAGTAATCAAAAGGCTGGCAGTTACAATAAAATACTCTAGCATTGGCATCAAACTTACACTTGGGTAGCAGTAGTAGTGTAGGTAGTCTGCATGATGACGTAAGAGGTGTGAGCGATGGTCACGTAGTCTAAAGACCTTTCAGTCACAATCCTGAAGTCTGACTGCACGTACGTGACCGTTAGTGTTGAAGGTCTGACAACTACCGTTGTCTGGAGGGCGACGCGGTCATCCACCGGCGTCTGGACCACCTGTGTAAGACAACAATTAGCTAGTCTAAGCTCAGCCTCCAGACCATCGTTTGTCACAATACATACCAAGTACTCACCCCGCGTGTTCCAGTGGTAACAGTCTGGACTGTGAGGGAAGTGAGGGTGACAGCCACACTCTGGAAAGCCTGATCAGTGAGGGTGACGAAGCGGTCGACGGTGAAGAGCTGGGTGACAGTGGGGTTAAATAGTGCATCCACTCTGCTCACTTGAGGACTGCCATACCTTGCCCCAGCGTAAGAAGCCGGACCGCTGCTGCCAGAGGTAGCTCGAGGCCCGCTGCTGACCTGTGCAGCCCTCTCACCGCCGGTGACTCTTTGCCCAGAAGTACTAGCTGGACCGCCGCCGATGCCTTGGCCGAGGTTAATATTTATTCCTTTACTGCTGCCAAGGCCTAATCCAGCACCCAGACGCGAACCGCTGACGACGGCCGGACCGCCACCTACAACTGGACTGCTGTCTTGTTGACCCGATGAACCTCTCTGACCAGCATTACCCGCATCTCCCGGTCCTCTGGTCTGACTCCCATAACCTGGCTGATGTGTTTGGAAGGAATAAAATTAGTTTAAATAATAATAGGAGTAGCAAGCTTGCTATGAAATTAAGAATTTCTTTACTAATGGTCAAAATCTAGGAAGCACCAAAAACTGGAGCCTTAGGTAAATTTAGATAATTTTGTAGTAGGTTCCACATTTATTGAAGACTAGCAGTACCCGGCCACGCATTGCTGTGACTCAGCACAGCAACCTTCCCTGTCCCTTTGTCCTCCACACCATTCTCGTCGCCTCATCTTTCCCCACCATCTCATTAACGTCCCCTTGTCATCTCCATTCCCCACTCCCTTGTCTGATGCCTTCCCAAATGGTTTGCCGTTCATCAGAAAATTGTGAACAGTGATCTGATGTTCCCTTCACTGAAATAAGAGTTAAAAGACGAAATGGGGGGGGGGGGAATTATACTCACGAAACTAATTACACAGCTCAATTCCAATCACAAAAAGTAATATAAATGAAAATCTATGAAAATTCTATTCATCAATGCAATCAGAAACATTGAAATGGAATTTTAATATTTAGTAGAGATGCTCTATATTTAGTAGAGCCGTGTGCTGCTCTTACGACCAACAGATGCCGTTTTTCAAGAAACATGTTTTTTTTCCCCGTCTCAGGTGAAGCAGATATATAGTAGATATAAAAATACGCGCCTATTCGAATGGAACGTTGTGTGAAAATTTCAAAGCAATCTGTGGTGAACTTTGAGATTAGCGATTATGCATAAACAAACATATCCATTTTTATTTATATATACTACATATGCATGTAGTTTTGCACAGGTCTGAACAATGCAATTGCACATATTCCTTTCTTTTTAAGGACGTACGTTACAACCGGTTGTGTCATGGTAGCATCATGACAATTTTTAATCGTCCTCGGGAAACAAACTACTAAAGTTTTAATAGAAGCAGATCTTTTTTACATCACAGGAGTCCCTGAATTGAAGCCTCAACCAACCTCCCAAGAGAAGGCAATTTAATTGCTAGTTTCTTCTGTTTAGTAAGATGCAAATACATACTGGAAAATTAACTAGGAAACGATAAGGGGGTGTTTAATTAAAGGCAGTAATTTAGAGCTTAGCCAGGACACTTAAACGCCCAATATTTCCAGACAGTATTTTATACACGTGTGTGCCATTATCGAGTTCAAAAGTTTTAACACCGTTAAAATCTAAAGTGTTAAGACTTGCATTTACAGGAGTGTTTAAGGCAAGTGCTGGTCTCTAGGCGAGAATCGCCAAAAAGATAATGCTACCAACAGGCAAATTGTAAGACTTATTCCCATGGAGTAAAGATGTCAGGGTAGTCGAATGCCTAGATTTATTTATAAGAAAAAAAAAAAAAATTGCAATTGATTACTATTCAAAGTCTACGTTTACTTTCTGCGGAAAGTATCCAGGCATATTCTTCTAACACTAGTTATATCAAGTGTCATTTAGATATTCAGGATTACGGCTTAAAAATTAAATGTATGGTTTAGCGTGATTGAAGTTAATCGTTTTCTTATATTAAGTCATTTATTATTTGAAAAATTCGTGATTTAATACAAGGTAAAGTGTAAGCATAGCTACTCTTAGCAAGATTAGCTTAAGTCAAGCAATTTCATAAATCGCCAAGAAGTAATGAAATTTGTTAACATGCCACGATATATATGAACTCATTAGGTACAAACGTGTGCTAACACACTGTGGTGAATATTTAACCAACAAACATTTTACTTACGTTGGAGATCTGTGCAACGACCAGCACTTTGGACACCACCAGGGTCGTCCATAGCAGCAATATCCAGGAATACGAATGCATCTGAAATTAATAACTGCTTTACTGTTCAAAATCTGAAGTTAGCGACTGCTGTTGCATACACTAGCAGAACTTCACAAGAAAAGTTTCCAAGATATACATATGGATTTACCACAAAGAGTCAAACACTCGTACTCCGCATAAATAAAACTGAACCAAGTAAGACTTAGTGGGCCAGCCAGTGACTTCAGGCCCACGCAGGAATTGCCCTGGAGGGAAAGAAGGGGAAGACTTTACTGCACACCAATAAATTAATACATAAACTTAATACTAAAAAAGTGACAAACCTTGATATACAGGAGAAATGTTACCAGTAAAGAAAGCAATGCCTAGAATGACAACCACAGGAACGCTGCCCCACCTCGTTGCCTTCCCCCCACACACTACAAACAGACGTTAGTACGACAGACTGTGGAACAAGGATAGGAAAGCTCCCTATAAAATGTATGTTCATGTATCACCCAACCCAACGCTCTACCAACCTATTAGCGCCATCTATTGACGGGTGTTGCAACTACAGGAGAACGTGGTACTATTTCATTCCGTTCCCAATTACATTAAATCATTGACTTTCTTGAGTAATTGTTATGATTGTCTGTTTTTAAATTATAATAATTATTAATTTAGTTGCCTGTCTATGTTATATAGTTTGAACTTCACTGACCTTCACTAATCACAATGTTTCCAATTATTTTGCCGTGTTTAAGCTACTATATAAATGTAAATATTAAACAAATATGAGTCCATAATGAGGTGAGACAGATCGAATAACTAGTCTCGCGGGACTGACCTCAGTCATTCTAGACGGCGCTTCTTCAAACGTTTTCGTTGGTGACCCTGTTAATTGTTATTTATTCATTTATAAATAAAAAAATTAGCTGGTGGTGTTATGTCCATGTTCGCTACGAGGAAGGTAGGATAGTGGTCAGTTGTTCTGTCAGTGATTATATCAGATGCAAGGGGAGCTGTTATGTTAGTCCATAAGTGATCCAGGGTAGTAGCAAATGTTTGAGTGATTCGGGTGGGCCTGGTGATTGTGGGGATTAGCATACAGGAGTTCGTGCTGTTTCGGAAACAGTCGACTTGGAGGCTATTTTGCTGACCTAGGTCAATATTGAAGTCTCCTCTTGGAATGATGGGATTTTTGTTTAGATTGTTGTTTATGATAAGATTTCTTAGGTTATCTGAGAATGATGCTACGTTAGTATTGGAAAATCTATAGATAGCTCCAATAGTCAAGGAGAATTTAAAGGATTTAATCGAGAACGGAGCAAAGGTATATTTAGAATCGCCTCTATCACCAATGACACTATTGCAGATGAAAGAATCATGGTAATATATATTTAATGGAGTGGAGTGGAGAATTGAAATTGAAATTAAAAAAAAGTTTATTGAGGTAAAATACACACAAAGGGATGAGGTAGCTCAAGCTTTCCTCACCCTGTTCAGTACAACATGTTATATATATATATATATATATATATATATATATATATATATATATATATATATATATATATATATATATATATATATATATATATATATATATATATATATATATATTTTGGTAGCAGTCTTTCCTGTAGACATATATTATTAAATATGACCGAAAAAGTAAGATTAATAATTCTAACACGAATTTTCTCAATCTTTCGTACATTTCTTTTCACTGTTGTAGGTAAATCAAAAATCAATTCTCCAAAATTCATTTTTTTCTATTTCTAGTCTGACGCGACACGAGCGCGTTTCGTAAAACTTATTACATTTTCAAAGACTTTTTTTCTTGATGTGTAGTGCCTCGCAAACGTCAAGCCGCCTGCTATCGCTGTATCTATCGATGATTTCTGTGTTATTTACTAGGATTTCTCTGGCGATGGTTTGGTTGTGGGAAGAGATTATATGCTCCTTAATGGAGCCCTGTTGCTTATGCATCGTTAAACGCCTAGAAAGAGATGTTGTTGTCTTGCCTATATACTGGGTTTTTTGGAGCTTACAGTCCCCAAGAGGGCATTTGAAGGCATAGACGACGTTAGTCTCTTTTAAAGCGTTCTGTTTTGTGTCTGGAGAGTTTCTCATGAGTAGGCTGGCCGTTTTTCTGGTTTTATAGTAAATGTAGATATATAGACTCAAATGTAGATATAAAATCGGAGATGCGTAAGTTCTATTCAGTTGTGTATTTGTAAACTAAAGTCTTTGAAAATGTAATAAGTTTTACGAAATGCGCTCGTGTCGCGTCAGACTAGAAATAAAAATGAATTTTGGAGAATTGATTTTTGATTTACCTCCAACAGTGAAAAGAAATGTACGAAAGATTGAGAAAATTCGTGTTAGAATTATTAATCTTACTTTTTCGGTCATATTTAATAATATATATATATATATATATATATATATATATATATATATATATATATATATATATATATATATATCATATTATCCTACCATACGAGATGGTTGAATCAGATATGTTACTTCTATTGTCCGTGAGAACCAGGTAATCATAATCATTACCTGGGTCGCAACAGGTAGCCCCAAAATATTTTAAACTATATAAACTAGATATATTTAGCAAGTACATTAATAAAATTACTAACTTACAAGAATAGAATCAATGCATGTTAAACTAAAAATTCAAGGAAAGAAAATTGCTTAACATTAAGCATTGAACAATCTAAATAAATAAAAATGGAAATGTTCGTTTGTTCAACAGCGCTAATCTCTGAAACTTCTTCATCGATTGCTTTGAAATTTTCACACAATGTTCCATTCGCATCCGAGCGGGTTTATATATATATATACGATATTGATGTCACGTCTGTAACAGAAAAAACGTGTTTTTTTTTTTTTTAAACTGTGTTTTTCGTGTGAGAGAAATCTTTGAAACCTTTTTACTGATTGCATTGAAATTTTAACGCGACGTTATATTCGAGTAGGCGTGTGTTTTATATATACCTACTATATACATTCCTTACCTGTGACAGGAAAAACATGCTTTTTTGGAAAAAAGCGCCATCTGTTGGACGTAAGAGCAACATACGCTGTTATCTCCCAAAGTTTTCACTGATTGCTTTGAAATTCTGACATAACATTCCATTCGAATATGCGCATGTTTTTATATACCTACCATATAGATGCCACACCTGTGACAGATAAAAACATATTTGTTTTTTTAAACAGCACCATCTGTTGCACATAATAGCAACACACATGCTATACTAAATGTGTTACAAATTCCATTTCAATGTTTCCGATTGCATTGATAAATTTAATTTTTATATATATATAAATAGTTTTATATAGTTATATATAGTTTATATAGTTTTATATAGTTATATATAGTTTTCGATTTATTTTAATTTTTATTGATTTATTTTGTGCGACATTTGTGTTGGAATTGAGCTGTGTTGTTTACCATACCGTTCATTTCATAAGAATATGTATAGATGCCACACCTGTGACAGGTAAAAAACTTTTTTTCCAAAAACAGCATCATTTGTTGTATGTAAGAGCAATACACGCTATACTAAAATGTTACAATTCCATTTCAATGTTCTCAATTGCATTGACAAATTAAATTTTCATACATTTTCATTTTTTTTCATTTTGATGTAATTATTTTGTGTGAATTGCATTGGAATTGAGCTGTGTTGTTTACTATTCTGTTCATTTCGAGAGTATAGTTTATTTTTTTATTTGTTTCATATTTTCATTTCATTTTTTAACTATTTTTCTTATAATTCAGTGATGGGAACATCAGATCACTCGATGTTACCAATTTTCTGATGGGAGCATCAGATCATTTGGGAAGGCATCGGACGAGGAAGTGGGGAATGGTGGGGATGACAAGGGGACGGAAGTGAGAGATGGTGGGGAAGACGATAGACATGGGAGGGGGTAATGGTGGGGAACGACAGCTAGAAGAGACAGCCAGGAGAGCCAGACAGGAGACCCAGCAAGGAGGGTCAGGCAGGAGAGCCAGCCAGAAGAGCATGCCAGAAGAGCCAGCCAGAAGAGCAAGCCGGGAGGGTCAGCCAGGAGAGCCAACCAGGAGAGCCAGCCAGGAGAGCCAGCCAGGAGAGCCAGCCAGAGGAGCCAGCCAGAAGAGCATGCCAGAGGAGCCAACCAGGAGAGCCAGCCAGGAGAGCCAGCCAGGAGAGCCAGCCAGAAGAGCCAGCCAGAAGAGCATGCCAGAAGAGCCAACCAGGAGAGCCAGCCAGAAGAGCAAGCCGGGAGGGTCAGCCAGGAGAGCCAGCCAAGAGAGCCAGCCAGAGGACCCAGCCAGGAGAGCCTGCCAGGAGAGCCAGCCAAGAGGGTCAGCCAGGAGAGTCAGCCAGGAGAGTCAGCCAGGAGAGTCAGCCAGGAGAGCCAGCCAGAAGAACCAGCCAGGAGGGTCAGCATGGAGAGCCAGCCAGAAGAGCCAGCCAGGAGGGTCAGCATGGAGGGTCAGTCAGGAGAGCCAGCCAGAAGAGCCAGCCAAGAGGATCAGCCAGGACAGCCAGCCAGAAGAGCCAGCCATGAGACCCAGCCAGAAGAGCCAGCCAGGAGGGTTAGCCAGGAGGGTCAGTCAGGAGAGCCAGTCAGGAGGGCCAGCCAGAAGAGCCAGCCACGAGAGCCAGCCAGAAGAGACAGCCAGGGGGGTCAGCCAGGAGAGCCAGCCAGGAGGGCCAGCCAGGAGAGCCAGCCAGGAGGGCCAGCAAGGAGAGCCAGCCAGGAGAGCCAGCCAGGAGGATAAGGAGGGCCAGCCAGGAGAGCCAGCCAGGAGGATAAGGAGGGCCAGCCAGGAGGGCCAGCCAGGAGGATAAGGAGAGCCAGCCAGGAGGGCCAGCCAGGAGGGCCAGCCAGGAGGGCCAGCAAGTTGGGCCAGCCAGGAGGGCCAGCCAGGAGGATAAGGAGGGCCAGCCAGGAGGGCCAGCCAGGAGGGCCAACTAGAAGGGCCAGCCAGGAGGGCCAGCCAGGAGGGCCAACCAGGAGGGCCAGCCAGGAGGGCCAGCCAGGAGGGCCAGCCAGGAGGGCCAACTAGGAGGGCCAGCCAGGAGGGCCAGCCAGGAGGGCCAGCCAGGAGAGCCAGCCAGGAGGATAAGGAGGGCCAGCCAGGAGGGCCAGCCAGGAGGGCCAGCCAGGAGAGCCAGACAGGAGGATAAGGAGGGCCAGCCAGGAGAGCCAGCCAGGAAGATAAGGAGGGCCAGCCAGGAAGATAAGGAGGGCCAGCCAGGAGGGCCAGCCAGGAGAGCCAGCCAGGAGGATAAGGAGGGCCAGCCAGGAGAGCCAGCCAGGAGGATAAGGAGGGCCAGCCAGGAGGGCCAGCCAGGAGGGCCAGCCAGGAGGGCCAGCCAGGATTGCCAGCCAGGAGGCTAAGGAGGGCCAGCCAGGAGAGCCAGCCAGGAGGATAAGGAGGGCCAGCCAGGAGGGCCAGCCAGAAGGGCCAACTAGGAGGGCCAGCAAGGAGGGCCAGCAAGGAGGGTCTGCCAGGAGGGCCAACTAGGAGGGCCAGCCAGGAGGGCCAGCCAGGATTGCCAGCCAGGAGGATAAGGAGGGCCAGCCAGGAGAGCCAGCCAGGAGGATAAGGAGGGCCAGCCAGGAGGGCCAGCCAGGAGGGCCAACTAGGAGGGCCAGCAAGGAGGGTCAGCCTGAAGGGTCAGACAGAGGGATCAGGAGGTTCAATAGCGACTGTGTTGGCGCCGTTAGGTGCTTCAGCTGCCGCCTGTTGGTCTCGTGACGTCAAGTCCCTGGGTGGTAGTTATGGCTGGGCGGGGGGTGGGGAACGGCGGGCGGCACATCACATACATAAACACACCTCATCTCCCGCTGCTCACAGATTACCAGAGCGCTTCCCAGCACTCGTTTGCAGCGCGCTAGAACTTCAAGGCACACATTAAGGTAAACAGACTCATTCTTAACACCTGTTTAGAGCGGCTCAAAGTTATTAACCGTTTATTGGCATTTATTTTATATATCCGGGAAATTAAAAAGGAGTTGATTAGCAATTTTGTCTTGCAAACGTATTAGTACAGGGAATTACTACACAATAATCGGGAACCAGTACATGTATTCTCTCGCACAGACACTAACACGCTTTCACTTCTACAGGAAATTTGTGTCAACATCAGCACACTGTCAACAGGAAGTAATCCTAAAACATTAGAATAGTTCGTCTACAAATAACCTTGTATAGGTGGTAGTGGAAAATGTTACTGAGGCACATACTGGGCTCAGGAACTGAGTTTTCCTGAGAGTAACTACCAACAGACTTCTCGACGACAAGATGCCGGCGGCTTGTCGAAGTCTCCCATTTGCCTTAATGATGTTTTACAGCTGTACTTTAAAAGTTTAAAGAGTTTTGACACTTGGGTGAAAAAGCATCTCCTGTTGTCAGTCCTATATATTTTTTTTTTAATTTGTATTTTTTTTTTTAGATATATACAAGAGTTGTTACATTCTTGTACAGCCACTCATACGCGTAGCGTTTCGGGCAGGTCGCTGGAATACGATCCCCGCCGCGAAGAATCGTTTTTACAACCAAGTACACATTTTACTGTTGAGTTAAACAGATGATACATTTCAGGATTTGCACCCAGTAAATCCTCCCTGGCCAGGATATATATGTATATATATATATATATATATATATATATATATATATATATATATATATATATATATATATATATATATATATATATATATATATATATATATATATATATATATATATATGTCGTACCTAATAGCCAGAACGCACTTGTCAGCCAACTATGCAAGGCCCGATTTGCCTAATAAGCCAAGTTTTCATGAATTAATTGTTTTTCGGCTACCTAACCTAACCTAACCTATAAAGATAGGTTAGGTTAGGTTAGGTAGGGTTGGTTAGGTTCGGTGTTAAATCTACGTTAATTTTAACTCGAATAAAAAAAA